CAAATACTTAAAGGTTGGCAGTTAGGTTGGCATTGCCAAATGCTGACTCTAATTTCCAGGGCTGTATATTATATATATATATATATATATATATATATATATATATATATATATATATATATATATATATATATATGTATATATATATATATATATATATATATATATATATATATATATATATATATATATATATATATATATATAGATATATATATATTATATAATATATATATATACTAATTGCACCCTCTTGGATTGTACTGCAAAAATTATTAACTGCGTTAAATGTAAAAAACGGCTGCCATTAATGTCATTTAATAGAAAGAAAATGGTGTGTATTGTATTTAATGCAAAACAGAAATGTTTTGAGTTAATTTACTGGTTGTGAATTAGTTTTTATTTACAAATTCAATTGTCTACGTTACATAATTAAAAATAATTAAACTGGTATAAATTTAGAGACTAAATGTCTGTATATGGGTACAAAATGTACTAAAATGGTTTTTACTTGCAACAATTGCTTTATTATTCTAGACAATTTATTGCTTAATAGCAGACATAGTCTTAAAAATTAGTTTGTCTTCTTTGCCAGTCCCAATGCAGCTGCGTAAACAATCAACAGAATTCTTAATTGATTATGTTCAGCTTAAGTCATAAGAGTTGTATTTTTTTTTCCTGAATCTAATAAATGATAAAAATAATATTAATAGTAATAATAATAATAATAATAATAATAATAATAATAATAACAGTAGTAATAATAGTAATAATTTATATATATGTATATATACAAAAATATATATATATATGTATATATATATATATATATATATATATATATATATATATATATATATATATATATATATATATATATATATATGTATATATATTTGGCAATGCCAACCTAACTGCCAACCTAAAAGTGTTTGTATCTAAATTTTTTTGCCGACCTCTAACCATTCAAGGTTGGCAATTTATTGCCGACCTCTTTTTTTTTAATTCTAAGGCCTATTCCTAAGACTATATTCCTATAGTTTGACGTCTAAATTTATCATTTGTGGTAAAAACGGCATGGAGTGTTGCTAGATCGATTGACAAATAGGTAAAACATGCGAGGAGTGCTGCTACATCAACTGACAAAAAGGTAAACATGCAAGGAGTGCTTCTACATTGACTGATTAATTGGTTGAGCATTTGAAAAGTACTGCTACATAGACTGAGGGTTTTAGTTCGGGTAGACAATCTATCAATAAAAAAAAACTTTTTAAACTTCTAAATAAGTTTATATATATATATATATATATATATATATATATATATATATATATATATATATATATATATATATATGTATACATATATATATGCATATATTTTTTAAAATACAGTTTAAATATATATATATATATATATATATATATAATATATATGTATATATATATATATATATATATATATATATATATATATATATATATATATATATATATATATATATAATATATATATATATGTATACATATATATATGCATATATTTTTTAAAATACAGTTTAATATATATATATATATATATATATATATATATATATATATATATATATATATATATATATATATATATATATATATATATATGTATATATATATATATATATATATATATAGATATATATATATATATATATGTATATATATATATATATATATATATATATATATATATATATATATACATATATGTATTTATATGTTTTAGAGTCTCCAACAAGTATTCCTTCAAACTTGCATATAAAAAACATAACATCATCAAGTATTACAGTAGAATGGAATGCTATAAACGATATGCCTGAAGATCGTATAACAAGCTATCAGTGTCAAATAGTAACAACAAATGGTGGATTTTTGGATATAAAAACTGTTTCTCAGAGTAATGGTTTAGTAAGTATCACATTTGTTGATCTTCTTCCTGGGTACTTATATAAATTTCGAGTGAGAGCTATTAACCTTAGTGGCCCTGGGCAATATTCCGGTTTTATCACTGCTACAACCAGCTCAGGTAGATTTTCTCTCTAAATATGTTGTATATATAACTTTATGTAATATTATATTTTCAATTGAATTACAATGATTTATGTCTGAGGACTCTTTCAGGCATTATTAAATAAAAATATTTTATGTACCATCCTATATAGATTACATATAAACATTGTCACAATGTGTTATCACAATATTAAAAGTCATATGTTTATTAACAGGTGTTTATTTTTGTGATGGCATTTTATATGTATGTAAGACATGTATATGTATATTTATACCCATTGTTGATTCCTCCATCTTGGTAAATGAAAATTCCTTTAGAAGGCATAAACTGAATAAAATTGGCTTGCACCTATTTGTTCATTTGATTATATTACATTTTAATTTACAATCAATGTCAGAGTTTTTAATTTCATAAATGTATTTTATATGTTTCTGTATCATTTTCATATATTTTGAATGCTTTAATTACTTATCATGGTTTATCATTTGGACTTTAAAGTTATTGTGTACTTACATTTTTTTAAATTTTATTATAACACAGTATTTTTGTTATAATGACTTTTTATTATATAAATTTTGCAAGTTTTTTTATTTGTTTGAGTATGAGAATTGTTTATTAAAAACAGAATTTAAAAACAATCGAGACATTCGATTTTTTTTGGTGTATTAAAAAAAATATATATTTTTTACATTGTAGTGTTTTAAAATTTTTACTTTTTATTGTATTTTTATTTTATATTTTTTTGATATTGATATTAGTTTTTTTGTTAAAGGAATTCTTGGTGCAGTTACAAATATCCAAGTTACACCAGTTCTCTTTTTTGAAAACACATCTGTACTGCTACAATGGAATCCTCCAACTCTACTTCTTGGATATACAACCAAGAGTTTAACATACTATTTGTCATATTGTGAACTGAATGTAATTACTGGGTGTACAAATATATCCCTGAATAGTAGCACACTACAAATCAAATTAATGAATTTGAAATCCAATATTTTTTATCAATACACTATTACTCCAATTGCAGTTTATACTGTTGGAGTTAAAGTTGGAGAGGCATCATCAAATATTTTTAAAACTGCTTTGACAGGTATTATTTTTCATACTATTTTTTTTAATATGTAGTTTTTTATTAAAATAAAAACATTTAATTTAAAAGACCTAAAAAAAAAATTTAAAAAAGATTAATATTTTTTTTCATAAATATGGTGCAATGGTAGTGAAGTAATGGTAAATGATCTATTGCCATTTTATTTTTTAACTACACATAAACAAATAATTAAATAATAAATTTTCCAAGAAATAATATTTATATAATAGCAGTGGCTTATTACGAAAAAGTAGGTGAGGGGGCCTTCATCACTGTGAAGCCTATTCACTCTCTTTTAACGAGTTTTAACATGTTTTAGCAATCATAATTAAATAATAATCAATAAAATAATAATCAAAATGTTTTTATGACAACAGAGTTTATAAACAATCTTTAACATAAATGTTTTTAAGTATAAAAACCATTAATGCTTTATTGAATTCAAATCAAAGGTCTGTACAGGCCTGTGCAGGGCATTCTAAAATATTTGTTTCATTTTCATTTGAAATGGTTTAAGTTTTTAGCAATATATTTTGGATCATTGTCTTGTTGGAACACAAAATCGTTTACTAAGTTATTTTATCAGAAGATGTTAGGTCCAATATATTACTATACAATTAGCAGATTAATAAAATCTACTATTAATACTGTATCATACCCCAAACAAACCCAACAACACATTTTAGGATTATATTTCCACCACCATACTTAACTGTTCCTCTCATGCAACTCATATAAAACGCTTTTCCTATTTTTTGCTCTTTGCGTATCATCAAATTTTTTTAACTTTTTGAATTTTTCAATCATTGAATTTTTTTTAACTTAATCTTGGATTCATCATATTATAGAAATTTCTTCTAAAATGATTTATTTGCTGTCCTTTTTGCACTGTAAGATTTATTTTTTTGCAGTATAAATTTCATGTGTCATATTGTCGTTTTTATAATGGCCTCTACTGTTCTAAAGATTTTTTTTCTTATGGTTGGTCCCAAGGTCAAGAACTGCAATCATTTTTATTGTTATACATATAGAGAGGGGCAGGCTCACATGCATATAGAGAGGGGCACCCAGTTGATATTAGGTTATATAATTTAGGTGCGTTTCTTTTCATGTGATAACACTTGAAAGACATGTTGTTTTCAAAATATTAAGGAAAAAATTCTTTGCGCAAAATGGTCTAATGTTTTATTGAATTGTAATTTATTTATTTATTTTATAGCATTGCCGAAATCTGCACCAGTTATTCAGCAGATCGCATCTGCAGGTCCAAACTCGATTGTAATTGTCTTTTCAGTGATCAATGACTTGTCTGAGAGAGTGCAGTCTTACTCGTTTATTAACATAAACACAAGTATTGTGCAGACAGTAAATGCCTTGAATTTGCCACCTTCTGTCAATACGCTTAACGTTACGTTTACAGGGCTGTCTACTGGTGTGTATTACTTTTTCAAAGGAAAAGCAGTCAATCCGTCAGGAGATGGTCCTTACAGCTCGCCTTTGGGGTTCATGTTGCCGGCATCAGGTAATTATAACATGCGTACTGCTTTTTACATGCATAAGTGTTCTCTGCTTTTTAAATAAGAGTTTTTTTTCAAGTTGGCTACGTGTCTCTAGCAACATGCCACATACTTATTTTGTGTTGCATTTGAGTTTGCTTTTTCTTTAATTAAAATGGTTACATTAAAAAATGTGTATAGAGCGGGTAAGGATTTTCGATGTTGCTTTTTTTTATGGGGACAGTAGATTTTATCTATGAATAAATATTTTTTTTTTAACATCAAGGTTTGGTTGTCACTGCTTTTAATGTGACTGTCGCTCCAGTTACTCACTTTGAAAGCAATTCAGTTAAAATCTCTTGGTCACCTCCTCAAACTACAGGAGCAGCAGATCCATCCGCTTTTCAATACCTTGTATCTTATTGCGAATTGAACTTACCAGCGACATGTGTGAACTCTACAATGTCATCTCAGCAATTTGTAACGCTTACAAACTTGAAAAGTGCAACTTTCTACCAATACACTGTCTATCTGTTCAGTTCTGAATTGTCTTCGACACAGTTTTTTACATATACATACAAAACAGCAGATAGGGGTGAGCAATAGGGTTTTTCTGTTACAGATTAAAAACTCGTTTTTTGTTTCTTCTGTGTGAACACTTTTTTGTTTTTTTTGTATGCAATTCCGTTCATATTGTGTGTAGAGCTGATATGTTTTAAAGCAGGTAGTTGAAAGGTTGACATCTAAACAAGTGGTATAATAAGTTTACAATATTTTTTAGTTTATAATCTTTAAATTTTGGTTTCTTTTCTTTTTTTATTGTATAGACACTTGTCAAGTTGGTTACTTCACTTGTGTTTCAAACGGTCAGTGCATCTTAATGAATAGAACTTGTAACTTGGTTCAAGACTGCTCAGACAACTCAGACGAACTTGTGTCAGCTGGTTGCGGTAATTGGCATTTATTATTAAAGTTCTCCAAATTTGTTTTATGTTTTCGATTTTATTTTTATTCAAAACAAAAAAACAAACAAAAGAACAACAACAACAACAAACCACGAAATGAAACTCATCCTAGATTTTACAATTGACGAGCTTAGTGTTTGGAATGCATTTTATAAATTTTTTTTTACTGTAAAAGTATTTTTCTAGCTTATTAAGTAAAATCTAAATATGCATGTATGTATGCACACATCAGAAAAGCATATAAGTAAGACTTTCGGCTTTGTTTCTTGTAAAAACACGATAATAAGATGTGCACCATCTGGAGTATGATCTGCAGTTCCAGTTATTGGTGAAACCAATGATTATTTAATAGCAAGTTAAACTTACAGGGGGTTCAAAGTCATCTTTTGCATTGGAAGCAAATCTTTTTGGTACATTCTTTTGATGAAAGAAAAAATGTTTATTTTTTCAAGTGCAACTAGTTTTCAAAAGATTATATTGAAATTATTAAAATAAAAAGATTTTTTATTTTAATAAGTTTTTTAAATTTTACAGTCCGTGTAAAATTTGAAAACGTTGAAGTTGAAGTAAAAAACTATTTAAAATATAAAAAGTCATATTACTTGTAACAGAAAAAACTATAACATGTTTTTATAAAATACATAGGATGTAATTAGAAAATTTTTTACACTGAAAAAGCAATTTTTAGACTTGAAAACAAATGTTTGTGAAGTATTTTTGTTTGTATAACTATAATCATCTGCAGTTTGATAATTATAAGTATAACTTATCAGGTTGCTCATATAAATATCAAAAAACTTTATTTCCAGCCCGTTGTCTTTTTTGAGCTCAAAAATGAATGAAGTTGTTTGCCATAAAACGTATTTGCAACAAGATGGTGCTTTTCTGACTTTTTCTTGTTTCAATATAGGTTTTTGAGTGTACTTTATAAAATTATTGTTGTAGATGCGTTTCTTTTCATGTGATAACACTTGAAAGACATGTTGTTTTCAAAATATTAAGGAAAAAATTCTTTGCGCAAAATGGTCTAATGTTTTATTGAATTGTAATTTATTTATTTATTTTATAGCATTGCCGAAATCTGCACCAGTTATTCAGCAGATCGCATCTGCAGGTCCAAACTCGATTGTAATTGTCTTTTCAGTGATCAATGACTTGTCTGAGAGAGTGCAGTCTTACTCGTTTATTAACATAAACACAAGTATTGTGCAGACAGTAAATGCCTTGAATTTGCCACCTTCTGTCAATACGCTTAACGTTACGTTTACAGGGCTGTCTACTGGTGTGTATTACTTTTTCAAAGGAAAAGCAGTCAATCCGTCAGGAGATGGTCCTTACAGCTCGCCTTTGGGGTTCATGTTGCCGGCATCAGGTAATTATAACATGCGTACTGCTTTTTACATGCATAAGTGTTCTCTGCTTTTTAAATAAGAGTTTTTTTTCAAGTTGGCTACGTGTCTCTAGCAACATGCCACATACTTATTTTGTGTTGCATTTGAGTTTGCTTTTTCTTTAATTAAAATGGTTACATTAAAAAATGTGTATAGAGCGGGTAAGGATTTTCGATGTTGCTTTTTTTTATGGGGACAGTAGATTTTATCTATGAATAAATATTTTTTTTTTAACATCAAGGTTTGGTTGTCACTGCTTTTAATGTGACTGTCGCTCCAGTTACTCACTTTGAAAGCAATTCAGTTAAAATCTCTTGGTCACCTCCTCAAACTACAGGAGCAGCAGATCCATCCGCTTTTCAATACCTTGTATCTTATTGCGAATTGAACTTACCAGCGACATGTGTGAACTCTACAATGTCATCTCAGCAATTTGTAACGCTTACAAACTTGAAAAGTGCAACTTTCTACCAATACACTGTCTATCTGTTCAGTTCTGAATTGTCTTCGACACAGTTTTTTACATATACATACAAAACAGCAGATAGGGGTGAGCAATAGGGTTTTTCTGTTACAGATTAAAAACTCGTTTTTTGTTTCTTCTGTGTGAACACTTTTTTGTTTTTTTGTATGCAATTCCGTTCATATTGTGTGTAGAGCTGATATGTTTTAAAGCAGGTAGTTGAAAGGTTGACATCTAAACAAGTGGTATAATAAGTTTACAATATTTTTAGTTTATAATCTTTAAATTTTGGTTTCTTTTCTTTTTTTTATTGTATAGACACTTGTCAAGTTGGTTACTTCACTTGTGTTTCAAACGGTCAGTGCATCTTAATGAATAGAACTTGTAACTTGGTTCAAGACTGCTCAGACAACTCAGACGAACTTGTGTCAGCTGGTTGCGGTAATTGGCATTTATTATTAAAGTTCTCCAAATTTGTTTTATGTTTTCGATTTTATTTTTATTCAAAACAAAAAAACAAACAAAAGAACAACAACAACAACAAACCACGAAATGAAACTCATCCTAGATTTTACAATTGACGAGCTTAGTGTTTGGAATGCATTTATAAATTTTTTTTTACTGTAAAAGTATTTTTCTAGCTTATTAAGTAAAATCTAAATATGCATGTATGTATGCACACATCAGAAAAGCATATAAGTAAGACTTTCGGCTTTGTTTCTTGTAAAAACACGATAATAAGATGTGCACCATCTGGAGTATGATCTGCAGTTCCAGTTATTTGGTGAAACCAATGATTATTTAATAGCAAGTTAAACTTACAGGGGTTCAAAGTCATCTTTTGCATTGGAAGCAAATCTTTTTGGTACATTCTTTTGATGAAAGAAAAAATGTTTATTTTTTCAAGTGCAACTAGTTTTCAAAAGATTATATTGAAATTATTAAAATAAAAAGATTTTTTATTTTAATAAGTTTTTAAATTTTACAGTCCGTGTAAAATTTGAAAACGTTGAAGTTGAAGTAAAAAACTATTTAAAATATAAAAAGTCATATTACTTGTAACAGAAAAAACTATAACATGTTTTTATAAAATACATAGGATGTAATTAGAAAATTTTTTACACTGAAAAAGCAATTTTTAGACTTGAAAACAAATGTTTGTGAAGTATTTTTGTTTGTATAACTATAATCATCTGCAGTTTGATAATTATAAGTATAACTTATCAGGTTGCTCATATAAATATCAAAAAACTTTATTTCCAGCCCGTTGTCTTTTTTGAGCTCAAAAATGAATGAAGTTGTTTGCCATAAAACGTATTTGCAACAAGATGGTGCTTTTCTGACTTTTCTTGTTTCAATATAGGTTTTTGAGTGTACTTTATAAAATTATTGTTGTAGATGCGTTTCTTTTCATGTGATAACACTTGAAAGACATGTTGTTTTCAAAATATTAAGGAAAAAATTCTTTGCGCAAAATGGTCTAATGTTTTATTGAATTGTAATTTATTTATTTATTTTATAGCATTGCCGAAATCTGCACCAGTTATTCAGCAGATCGCATCTGCAGGTCCAAACTCGATTGTAATTGTCTTTTCAGTGATCAATGACTTGTCTGAGAGAGTGCAGTCTTACTCGTTTATTAACATAAACACAAGTATTGTGCAGACAGTAAATGCCTTGAATTTGCCACCTTCTGTCAATACGCTTAACGTTACGTTTACAGGGCTGTCTACTGGTGTGTATTACTTTTTCAAAGGAAAAGCAGTCAATCCGTCAGGAGATGGTCCTTACAGCTCGCCTTTGGGGTTCATGTTGCCGGCATCAGGTAATTATAACATGCGTACTGCTTTTTACATGCATAAGTGTTCTCTGCTTTTTAAATAAGAGTTTTTTTTCAAGTTGGCTACGTGTCTCTAGCAACATGCCACATACTTATTTTGTGTTGCATTTGAGTTTGCTTTTTCTTTAATTAAAATGGTTACATTAAAAAATGTGTATAGAGCGGGTAAGGATTTTCGATGTTGCTTTTTTTTATGGGGACAGTAGATTTTATCTATGAATAAATATTTTTTTTTTAACATCAAGGTTTGGTTGTCACTGCTTTTAATGTGACTGTCGCTCCAGTTACTCACTTTGAAAGCAATTCAGTTAAAATCTCTTGGTCACCTCCTCAAACTACAGGAGCAGCAGATCCATCCGCTTTTCAATACCTTGTATCTTATTGCGAATTGAACTTACCAGCGACATGTGTGAACTCTACAATGTCATCTCAGCAATTTGTAACGCTTACAAACTTGAAAAGTGCAACTTTCTACCAATACACTGTCTATCTGTTCAGTTCTGAATTGTCTTCGACACAGTTTTTTACATATACATACAAAACAGCAGATAGGGGTGAGCAATAGGGTTTTTCTGTTACAGATTAAAAACTCGTTTTTTGTTTCTTCTGTGTGAACACTTTTTTGTTTTTTTGTATGCAATTCCGTTCATATTGTGTGTAGAGCTGATATGTTTTAAAGCAGGTAGTTGAAAGGTTGACATCTAAACAAGTGGTATAATAAGTTTACAATATTTTTAGTTTATAATCTTTAAATTTTGGTTTCTTTTCTTTTTTTTATTGTATAGACACTTGTCAAGTTGGTTACTTCACTTGTGTTTCAAACGGTCAGTGCATCTTAATGAATAGAACTTGTAACTTGGTTCAAGACTGCTCAGACAACTCAGACGAACTTGTGTCAGCTGGTTGCGGTAATTGGCATTTATTATTAAAGTTCTCCAAATTTGTTTTATGTTTTCGATTTTATTTTTATTCAAAACAAAAAAACAAACAAAAGAACAACAACAACAACAAACCACGAAATGAAACTCATCCTAGATTTTACAATTGACGAGCTTAGTGTTTGGAATGCATTTATAAATTTTTTTTTACTGTAAAAGTATTTTTCTAGCTTATTAAGTAAAATCTAAATATGCATGTATGTATGCACACATCAGAAAAGCATATAAGTAAGACTTTCGGCTTTGTTTCTTGTAAAAACACGATAATAAGATGTGCACCATCTGGAGTATGATCTGCAGTTCCAGTTATTTGGTGAAACCAATGATTATTTAATAGCAAGTTAAACTTACAGGGGTTCAAAGTCATCTTTTGCATTGGAAGCAAATCTTTTTGGTACATTCTTTTGATGAAAGAAAAAATGTTTATTTTTTCAAGTGCAACTAGTTTTCAAAAGATTATATTGAAATTATTAAAATAAAAAGATTTTTTATTTTAATAAGTTTTTAAATTTTACAGTCCGTGTAAAATTTGAAAACGTTGAAGTTGAAGTAAAAAACTATTTAAAATATAAAAAGTCATATTACTTGTAACAGAAAAAACTATAACATGTTTTTATAAAATACATAGGATGTAATTAGAAAATTTTTTACACTGAAAAAGCAATTTTTAGACTTGAAAACAAATGTTTGTGAAGTATTTTTGTTTGTATAACTATAATCATCTGCAGTTTGATAATTATAAGTATAACTTATCAGGTTGCTCATATAAATATCAAAAAACTTTATTTCCAGCCCGTTGTCTTTTTTGAGCTCAAAAATGAATGAAGTTGTTTGCCATAAAACGTATTTGCAACAAGATGGTGCTTTTCTGACTTTTCTTGTTTCAATATAGGTTTTTGAGTGTACTTTATAAAATTATTGTTGTAGATGCGTTTCTTTTCATGTGATAACACTTGAAAGACATGTTGTTTTCAAAATATTAAGGAAAAAATTCTTTGCGCAAAATGGTCTAATGTTTTATTGAATTGTAATTTATTTATTTATTTTATAGCATTGCCGAAATCTGCACCAGTTATTCAGCAGATCGCATCTGCAGGTCCAAACTCGATTGTAATTGTCTTTTCAGTGATCAATGACTTGTCTGAGAGAGTGCAGTCTTACTCGTTTATTAACATAAACACAAGTATTGTGCAGACAGTAAATGCCTTGAATTTGCCACCTTCTGTCAATACGCTTAACGTTACGTTTACAGGGCTGTCTACTGGTGTGTATTACTTTTTCAAAGGAAAAGCAGTCAATCCGTCAGGAGATGGTCCTTACAGCTCGCCTTTGGGGTTCATGTTGCCGGCATCAGGTAATTATAACATGCGTACTGCTTTTTACATGCATAAGTGTTCTCTGCTTTTTAAATAAGAGTTTTTTTTCAAGTTGGCTACGTGTCTCTAGCAACATGCCACATACTTATTTTGTGTTGCATTTGAGTTTGCTTTTTCTTTAATTAAAATGGTTACATTAAAAAATGTGTATAGAGCGGGTAAGGATTTTCGATGTTGCTTTTTTTTATGGGGACAGTAGATTTTATCTATGAATAAATATTTTTTTTTTAACATCAAGGTTTGGTTGTCACTGCTTTTAATGTGACTGTCGCTCCAGTTACTCACTTTGAAAGCAATTCAGTTAAAATCTCTTGGTCACCTCCTCAAACTACAGGAGCAGCAGATCCATCCGCTTTTCAATACCTTGTATCTTATTGCGAATTGAACTTACCAGCGACATGTGTGAACTCTACAATGTCATCTCAGCAATTTGTAACGCTTACAAACTTGAAAAGTGCAACTTTCTACCAATACACTGTCTATCTGTTCAGTTCTGAATTGTCTTCGACACAGTTTTTTACATATACATACAAAACAGCAGATAGGGGTGAGCAATAGGGTTTTTCTGTTACAGATTAAAAACTCGTTTTTTGTTTCTTCTGTGTGAACACTTTTTTGTTTTTTTGTATGCAATTCCGTTCATATTGTGTGTAGAGCTGATATGTTTTAAAGCAGGTAGTTGAAAGGTTGACATCTAAACAAGTGGTATAATAAGTTTACAATATTTTTAGTTTATAATCTTTAAATTTTGGTTTCTTTTCTTTTTTTTATTGTATAGACACTTGTCAAGTTGGTTACTTCACTTGTGTTTCAAACGGTCAGTGCATCTTAATGAATAGAACTTGTAACTTGGTTCAAGACTGCTCAGACAACTCAGACGAACTTGTGTCAGCTGGTTGCGGTAATTGGCATTTATTATTAAAGTTCTCCAAATTTGTTTTATGTTTTCGATTTTATTTTTATTCAAAACAAAAAAACAAACAAAAGAACAACAACAACAACAAACCACGAAATGAAACTCATCCTAGATTTTACAATTGACGAGCTTAGTGTTTGGAATGCATTTATAAATTTTTTTTTACTGTAAAAGTATTTTTCTAGCTTATTAAGTAAAATCTAAATATGCATGTATGTATGCACACATCAGAAAAGCATATAAGTAAGACTTTCGGCTTTGTTTCTTGTAAAAACACGATAATAAGATGTGCACCATCTGGAGTATGATCTGCAGTTCCAGTTATTTGGTGAAACCAATGATTATTTAATAGCAAGTTAAACTTACAGGGGTTCAAAGTCATCTTTTGCATTGGAAGCAAATCTTTTTGGTACATTCTTTTGATGAAAGAAAAAATGTTTATTTTTTCAAGTGCAACTAGTTTTCAAAAGATTATATTGAAATTATTAAAATAAAAAGATTTTTTATTTTAATAAGTTTTTAAATTTTACAGTCCGTGTAAAATTTGAAAACGTTGAAGTTGAAGTAAAAAACTATTTAAAATATAAAAAGTCATATTACTTGTAACAGAAAAAACTATAACATGTTTTTATAAAATACATAGGATGTAATTAGAAAATTTTTTACACTGAAAAAGCAATTTTTAGACTTGAAAACAAATGTTTGTGAAGTATTTTTGTTTGTATAACTATAATCATCTGCAGTTTGATAATTATAAGTATAACTTATCAGGTTGCTCATATAAATATCAAAAAACTTTATTTCCAGCCCGTTGTCTTTTTTGAGCTCAAAAATGAATGAAGTTGTTTGCCATAAAACGTATTTGCAACAAGATGGTGCTTTTCTGACTTTTCTTGTTTCAATATAGGTTTTTGAGTGTACTTTATAAAATTATTGTTGTAGATGCGTTTCTTTTCATGTGATAACACTTGAAAGACATGTTGTTTTCAAAATATTAAGGAAAAAATTCTTTGCGCAAAATGGTCTAATGTTTTATTGAATTGTAATTTATTTATTTATTTTATAGCATTGCCGAAATCTGCACCAGTTATTCAGCAGATCGCATCTGCAGGTCCAAACTCGATTGTAATTGTCTTTTCAGTGATCAATGACTTGTCTGAGAGAGTGCAGTCTTACTCGTTTATTAACATAAACACAAGTATTGTGCAGACAGTAAATGCCTTGAATTTGCCACCTTCTGTCAATACGCTTAACGTTACGTTTACAGGGCTGTCTACTGGTGTGTATTACTTTTTCAAAGGAAAAGCAGTCAATCCGTCAGGAGATGGTCCTTACAGCTCGCCTTTGGGGTTCATGTTGCCGGCATCAGGTAATTATAACATGCGTACTGCTTTTTACATGCATAAGTGTTCTCTGCTTTTTAAATAAGAGTTTTTTTTCAAGTTGGCTACGTGTCTCTAGCAACATGCCACATACTTATTTTGTGTTGCATTTGAGTTTGCTTTTTCTTTAATTAAAATGGTTACATTAAAAAATGTGTATAGAGCGGGTAAGGATTTTCGATGTTGCTTTTTTTTATGGGGACAGTAGATTTTATCTATGAATAAATATTTTTTTTTTAACATCAAGGTTTGGTTGTCACTGCTTTTAATGTGACTGTCGCTCCAGTTACTCACTTTGAAAGCAATTCAGTTAAAATCTCTTGGTCACCTCCTCAAACTACAGGAGCAGCAGATCCATCCGCTTTTCAATACCTTGTATCTTATTGCGAATTGAACTTACCAGCGACATGTGTGAACTCTACAATGTCATCTCAGCAATTTGTAACGCTTACAAACTTGAAAAGTGCAACTTTCTACCAATACACTGTCTATCTGTTCAGTTCTGAATTGTCTTCGACACAGTTTTTTACATATACATACAAAACAGCAGATAGGGGTGAGCAATAGGGTTTTTCTGTTACAGATTAAAAACTCGTTTTTTGTTTCTTCTGTGTGAACACTTTTTTGTTTTTTTGTATGCAATTCCGTTCATATTGTGTGTAGAGCTGATATGTTTTAAAGCAGGTAGTTGAAAGGTTGACATCTAAACAAGTGGTATAATAAGTTTACAATATTTTTAGTTTATAATCTTTAAATTTTGGTTTCTTTTCTTTTTTTTATTGTATAGACACTTGTCAAGTTGGTTACTTCACTTGTGTTTCAAACGGTCAGTGCATCTTAATGAATAGAACTTGTAACTTGGTTCAAGACTGCTCAGACAACTCAGACGAACTTGTGTCAGCTGGTTGCGGTAATTGGCATTTATTATTAAAGTTCTCCAAATTTGTTTTATGTTTTCGATTTTATTTTTATTCAAAACAAAAAAACAAACAAAAGAACAACAACAACAACAAACCACGAAATGAAACTCATCCTAGATTTTACAATTGACGAGCTTAGTGTTTGGAATGCATTTATAAATTTTTTTTTACTGTAAAAGTATTTTTCTAGCTTATTAAGTAAAATCTAAATATGCATGTATGTATGCACACATCAGAAAAGCATATAAGTAAGACTTTCGGCTTTGTTTCTTGTAAAAACACGATAATAAGATGTGCACCATCTGGAGTATGATCTGCAGTTCCAGTTATTTGGTGAAACCAATGATTATTTAATAGCAAGTTAAACTTACAGGGGTTCAAAGTCATCTTTTGCATTGGAAGCAAATCTTTTTGGTACATTCTTTTGATGAAAGAAAAAATGTTTATTTTTTCAAGTGCAACTAGTTTTCAAAAGATTATATTGAAATTATTAAAATAAAAAGATTTTTTATTTTAATAAGTTTTTAAATTTTACAGTCCGTGTAAAATTTGAAAACGTTGAAGTTGAAGTAAAAAACTATTTAAAATATAAAAAGTCATATTACTTGTAACAGAAAAAACTATAACATGTTTTTATAAAATACATAGGATGTAATTAGAAAATTTTTTACACTGAAAAAGCAATTTTTAGACTTGAAAACAAATGTTTGTGAAGTATTTTTGTTTGTATAACTATAATCATCTGCAGTTTGATAATTATAAGTATAACTTATCAGGTTGCTCATATAAATATCAAAAAACTTTATTTCCAGCCCGTTGTCTTTTTTGAGCTCAAAAATGAATGAAGTTGTTTGCCATAAAACGTATTTGCAACAAGATGGTGCTTTTCTGACTTTTCTTGTTTCAATATAGGTTTTTGAGTGTACTTTATAAAATTATTGTTGTAGATGCGTTTCTTTTCATGTGATAACACTTGAAAGACATGTTGTTTTCAAAATATTAAGGAAAAAATTCTTTGCGCAAAATGGTCTAATGTTTTATTGAATTGTAATTTATTTATTTATTTTATAGCATTGCCGAAATCTGCACCAGTTATTCAGCAGATCGCATCTGCAGGTCCAAACTCGATTGTAATTGTCTTTTCAGTGATCAATGACTTGTCTGAGAGAGTGCAGTCTTACTCGTTTATTAACATAAACACAAGTATTGTGCAGACAGTAAATGCCTTGAATTTGCCACCTTCTGTCAATACGCTTAACGTTACCTTTACAGGGCTGTCTACTGGTGTGTATTACTTTTTCAAAGGAAAAGCAGTCAATCCGTCAGGAGATGGTCCTTACAGCTCGCCTTTGGGGTTCATGTTGCCGGCATCAGGTAATTATAACATGCGTACTGCTTTTTACATGCATAAGTGTTCTCTGCTTTTTAAATAAGAGTTTTTTTTCAAGTTGGCTACGTGTCTCTAGCAACATGCCACATACTTATTTTGTGTTGCATTTGAGTTTGCTTTTTCTTTAATTAAAATGGTTACATTAAAAAATGTGTATAGAGCGGGTAAGGATTTTCGATGTTGCTTTTTTTTATGGGGACAGTAGATTTTATCTATGAATAAATATTTTTTTTTTAACATCAAGGTTTGGTTGTCACTGCTTTTAATGTGACTGTCGCTCCAGTTACTCACTTTGAAAGCAATTCAGTTAAAATCTCTTGGTCACCTCCTCAAACTACAGGAGCAGCAGATCCATCCGCTTTTCAATACCTTGTATCTTATTGCGAATTGAACTTACCAGCGACATGTGTGAACTCTACAATGTCATCTCAGCAATTTGTAACGCTTACAAACTTGAAAAGTGCAACTTTCTACCAATACACTGTCTATCTGTTCAGTTCTGAATTGTCTTCGACACAGTTTTTTACATATACATACAAAACAGCAGATAGGGGTGAGCAATAGGGTTTTTCTGTTACAGATTAAAAACTCGTTTTTTGTTTCTTCTGTGTGAACACTTTTTTGTTTTTTTGTATGCAATTCCGTTCATATTGTGTGTAGAGCTGATATGTTTTAAAGCAGGTAGTTGAAAGGTTGACATCTAAACAAGTGGTATAATAAGTTTACAATATTTTTAGTTTATAATCTTTAAATTTTGGTTTCTTTTCTTTTTTTTATTGTATAGACACTTGTCAAGTTGGTTACTTCACTTGTGTTTCAAACGGTCAGTGCATCTTAATGAATAGAACTTGTAACTTGGTTCAAGACTGCTCAGACAACTCAGACGAACTTGTGTCAGCTGGTTGCGGTAATTGGCATTTATTATTAAAGTTCTCCAAATTTGTTTTATGTTTTCGATTTTATTTTTATTCAAAACAAAAAAACAAACAAAAGAACAACAACAACAACAAACCACGAAATGAAACTCATCCTAGATTTTACAATTGACGAGCTTAGTGTTTGGAATGCATTTATAAATTTTTTTTTACTGTAAAAGTATTTTTCTAGCTTATTAAGTAAAATCTAAATATGCATGTATGTATGCACACATCAGAAAAGCATATAAGTAAGACTTTCGGCTTTGTTTCTTGTAAAAACACGATAATAAGATGTGCACCATCTGGAGTATGATCTGCAGTTCCAGTTATTTGGTGAAACCAATGATTATTTAATAGCAAGTTAAACTTACAGGGGTTCAAAGTCATCTTTTGCATTGGAAGCAAATCTTTTTGGTACATTCTTTTGATGAAAGAAAAAATGTTTATTTTTTCAAGTGCAACTAGTTTTCAAAAGATTATATTGAAATTATTAAAATAAAAAGATTTTTTATTTTAATAAGTTTTTAAATTTTACAGTCCGTGTAAAATTTGAAAACGTTGAAGTTGAAGTAAAAAACTATTTAAAATATAAAAAGTCATATTACTTGTAACAGAAAAAACTATAACATGTTTTTATAAAATACATAGGATGTAATTAGAAAATTTTTTACACTGAAAAAGCAATTTTTAGACTTGAAAACAAATGTTTGTGAAGTATTTTTGTTTGTATAACTATAATCATCTGCAGTTTGATAATTATAAGTATAACTTATCAGGTCGCTCATATAAATATCAAAAAACTTTATTTCCAGCCCGTTGTCTTTTTTGAGCTCAAAAATGAATGAAGTTGTTTGCCATAAAACGTATTTGCAACAAGATGGTGCTTTTCTGACTTTTCTTGTTTCAATATAGGTTTTTGAGTGTACTTTATAAAATTATTGTTGTAGATGCGTTTCTTTTCATGTGATAACACTTGAAAGACATGTTGTTTTCAAAATATTAAGGAAAAAATTCTTTGCGCAAAATGGTCTAATGTTTTATTGAATTGTAATTTATTTATTTATTTTATAGCATTGCCGAAATCTGCACCAGTTATTCAGCAGATCGCATCTGCAGGTCCAAACTCGATTGTAATTGTCTTTTCAGTGATCAATGACTTGTCTGAGAGAGTGCAGTCTTACTCGTTTATTAACATAAACACAAGTATTGTGCAGACAGTAAATGCCTTGAATTTGCCACCTTCTGTCAATACGCTTAACGTTACCTTTACAGGGCTGTCTACTGGTGTGTATTACTTTTTCAAAGGAAAAGCAGTCAATCCGTCAGGAGATGGTCCTTACAGCTCGCCTTTGGGGTTCATGTTGCCGGCATCAGGTAATTATAACATGCGTACTGCTTTTTACATGCATAAGTGTTCTCTGCTTTTTAAATAAGAGTTTTTTTTCAAGTTGGCTACGTGTCTCTAGCAACATGCCACATACTTATTTTGTGTTGCATTTGAGTTTGCTTTTTCTTTAATTAAAATGGTTACATTAAAAAATGTGTATAGAGCGGGTAAGGATTTTCGATGTTGCTTTTTTTTATGGGGACAGTAGATTTTATCTATGAATAAATATTTTTTTTTTAACATCAAGGTTTGGTTGTCACTGCTTTTAATGTGACTGTCGCTCCAGTTACTCACTTTGAAAGCAATTCAGTTAAAATCTCTTGGTCACCTCCTCAAACTACAGGAGCAGCAGATCCATCCGCTTTTCAATACCTTGTATCTTATTGCGAATTGAACTTACCAGCGACATGTGTGAACTCTACAATGTCATCTCAGCAATTTGTAACGCTTACAAACTTGAAAAGTGCAACTTTCTACCAATACACTGTCTATCTGTTCAGTTCTGAATTGTCTTCGACACAGTTTTTTACATATACATACAAAACAGCAGATAGGGGTGAGCAATAGGGTTTTTCTGTTACAGATTAAAAACTCGTTTTTTGTTTCTTCTGTGTGAACACTTTTTTGTTTTTTTGTATGCAATTCCGTTCATATTGTGTGTAGAGCTGATATGTTTTAAAGCAGGTAGTTGAAAGGTTGACATCTAAACAAGTGGTATAATAAGTTTACAATATTTTTAGTTTATAATCTTTAAATTTTGGTTTCTTTTCTTTTTTTTATTGTATAGACACTTGTCAAGTTGGTTACTTCACTTGTGTTTCAAACGGTCAGTGCATCTTAATGAATAGAACTTGTAACTTGGTTCAAGACTGCTCAGACAACTCAGATGAACTTGTGTCAGCTGGTTGCGGTAATTGGCATTTATTATTAAAGTTCTCCAAATTTGTTTTATGTTTTCGATTTTATTTTTATTCAAAACAAAAAAACAAACAAAAGAACAACAACAACAACAAACCACGAAATGAAACTCATCCTAGATTTTACAATTGACGAGCTTAGTGTTTGGAATGCATTTATAAATTTTTTTTTACTGTAAAAGTATTTTTCTAGCTTATTAAGTAAAATCTAAATATGCATGTATGTATGCACACATCAGAAAAGCATATAAGTAAGACTTTCGGCTTTGTTTCTTGTAAAAACACGATAATAAGATGTGCACCATCTGGAGTATGATCTGCAGTTCCAGTTATTTGGTGAAACCAATGATTATTTAATAGCAAGTTAAACTTACAGGGGTTCAAAGTCATCTTTTGCATTGGAAGCAAATCTTTTTGGTACATTCTTTTGATGAAAGAAAAAATGTTTATCTTTTCAAGTGCAACTAGTTTTCAAAAGATTATATTGAAATTATTAAAATAAAAAGATTTTTTATTTTAATAAGTTTTTAAATTTTACAGTCCGTGTAAAATTTGAAAACGTTGAAGTTGAAGTAAAAAACTATTTAAAATATAAAAAGTCATATTACTTGTAACAGAAAAAACTATAACATGTTTTTATAAAATACATAGGATGTAATTAGAAAATTTTTTACACTGAAAAAGCAATTTTTAGACTTGAAAACAAATGTTTGTGAAGTATTTTTGTTTGTATAACTATAATCATCTGCAGTTTGATAATTATAAGTATAACTTATCAGGTTGCTCATATAAATATCAAAAAACTTTATTTCCAGCCCGTTGTCTTTTTTGAGCTCAAAAATGAATGAAGTTGTTTGCCATAAAACGTATTTGCAACAAGATGGTGCTTTTCTGACTTTTCTTGTTTCAATATAGGTTTTTGAGTGTACTTTATAAAATTATTGTTGTAGATGCGTTTCTTTTCATGTGATAACACTTGAAAGACATGTTGTTTTCAAAATATTAAGGAAAAAATTCTTTGCGCAAAATGGTCTAATGTTTTATTGAATTGTAATTTATTTATTTATTTTATAGCATTGCCGAAATCTGCACCAGTTATTCAGCAGATCGCATCTGCAGGTCCAAACTCGATTGTAATTGTCTTTTCAGTGATCAATGACTTGTCTGAGAGAGTGCAGTCTTACTCGTTTATTAACATAAACACAAGTATTGTGCAGACAGTAAATGCCTTGAATTTGCCACCTTCTGTCAATACGCTTAACGTTACGTTTACAGGGCTGTCTACTGGTGTGTATTACTTTTTCAAAGGAAAAGCAGTCAATCCGTCAGGAGATGGTCCTTACAGCTCGCCTTTGGGGTTCATGTTGCCGGCATCAGGTAATTATAACATGCGTACTGCTTTTTACATGCATAAGTGTTCTCTGCTTTTTAAATAAGAGTTTTTTTTCAAGTTGGCTACGTGTCTCTAGCAACATGCCACATACTTATTTTGTGTTGCATTTGAGTTTGCTTTTTCTTTAATTAAAATGGTTACATTAAAAAATGTGTATAGAGCGGGTAAGGATTTTCGATGTTGCTTTTTTTTATGGGGACAGTAGATTTTATCTATGAATAAATATTTTTTTTTTAACATCAAGGTTTGGTTGTCACTGCTTTTAATGTGACTGTCGCTCCAGTTACTCACTTTGAAAGCAATTCAGTTAAAATCTCTTGGTCACCTCCTCAAACTACAGGAGCAGCAGATCCATCCGCTTTTCAATACCTTGTATCTTATTGCGAATTGAACTTACCAGCGACATGTGTGAACTCTACAATGTCATCTCAGCAATTTGTAACGCTTACAAACTTGAAAAGTGCAACTTTCTACCAATACACTGTCTATCTGTTCAGTTCTGAATTGTCTTCGACACAGTTTTTTACATATACATACAAAACAGCAGATAGGGGTGAGCAATAGGGTTTTTCTGTTACAGATTAAAAACTCGTTTTTTGTTTCTTCTGTGTGAACACTTTTTTGTTTTTTTGTATGCAATTCCGTTCATATTGTGTGTAGAGCTGATATGTTTTAAAGCAGGTAGTTGAAAGGTTGACATCTAAACAAGTGGTATAATAAGTTTACAATATTTTTAGTTTATAATCTTTAAATTTTGGTTTCTTTTCTTTTTTTTATTGTATAGACACTTGTCAAGTTGGTTACTTCACTTGTGTTTCAAACGGTCAGTGCATCTTAATGAATAGAACTTGTAACTTGGTTCAAGACTGCTCAGACAACTCAGATGAACTTGTGTCAGCTGGTTGCGGTAATTGGCATTTATTATTAAAGTTCTCCAAATTTGTTTTATGTTTTCGATTTTATTTTTATTCAAAACAAAAAAACAAACAAAAGAACAACAACAACAACAAACCACGAAATGAAACTCATCCTAGATTTTACAATTGACGAGCTTAGTGTTTGGAATGCATTTATAAATTTTTTTTTACTGTAAAAGTATTTTTCTAGCTTATTAAGTAAAATCTAAATATGCATGTATGTATGCACACATCAGAAAAGCATATAAGTAAGACTTTCGGCTTTGTTTCTTGTAAAAACACGATAATAAGATGTGCACCATCTGGAGTATGATCTGCAGTTCCAGTTATTTGGTGAAACCAATGATTATTTAATAGCAAGTTAAACTTACAGGGGTTCAAAGTCATCTTTTGCATTGGAAGCAAATCTTTTTGGTACATTCTTTTGATGAAAGAAAAAATGTTTATCTTTTCAAGTGCAACTAGTTTTCAAAAGATTATATTGAAATTATTAAAATAAAAAGATTTTTTATTTTAATAAGTTTTTAAATTTTACAGTCCGTGTAAAATTTGAAAACGTTGAAGTTGAAGTAAAAAACTATTTAAAATATAAAAAGTCATATTACTTGTAACAGAAAAAACTATAACATGTTTTTATAAAATACATAGGATGTAATTAGAAAATTTTTTACACTGAAAAAGCAATTTTTAGACTTGAAAACAAATGTTTGTGAAGTATTTTTGTTTGTATAACTATAATCATCTGCAGTTTGATAATTATAAGTATAACTTATCAGGTTGCTCATATAAATATCAAAAAACTTTATTTCCAGCCCGTTGTCTTTTTTGAGCTCAAAAATGAATGAAGTTGTTTGCCATAAAACGTATTTGCAACAAGATGGTGCTTTTCTGACTTTTCTTGTTTCAATATAGGTTTTTGAGTGTACTTTATAAAATTATTGTTGTAGATGCGTTTCTTTTCATGTGATAACACTTGAAAGACATGTTGTTTTCAAAATATTAAGGAAAAAATTCTTTGCGCAAAATGGTCTAATGTTTTATTGAATTGTAATTTATTTATTTATTTTATAGCATTGCCGAAATCTGCACCAGTTATTCAGCAGATCGCATCTGCAGGTCCAAACTCGATTGTAATTGTCTTTTCAGTGATCAATGACTTGTCTGAGAGAGTGCAGTCTTACTCGTTTATTAACATAAACACAAGTATTGTGCAGACAGTAAATGCCTTGAATTTGCCACCTTCTGTCAATACGCTTAACGTTACGTTTACAGGGCTGTCTACTGGTGTGTATTACTTTTTCAAAGGAAAAGCAGTCAATCCGTCAGGAGATGGTCCTTACAGCTCGCCTTTGGGGTTCATGTTGCCGGCATCAGGTAATTATAACATGCGTACTGCTTTTTACATGC